AGGAAGAGGAGGAGGAGGAGGAGGGGGAGGAGAAGAAGGAGGAGGAGGAGGAGGAAGGCGCTCGGGAGCCACATTGGGAGCCGTCCTGCACGGAGTCTGGCCCCGGCGCTCCCAAGCAGACCGAGCGAGAGACACGAGAGACGCCTCTGGCGGATCCGCCACCTCCCGACACGAATGAGAAGATGCGCCAAGCCGCTGACGACTTCACCATAGCGCCTGAACCTTCCTGTGCCCCCCCCGCCCCACCTGGACGCAAGGTGCGAGCGACCACATCCTCATCAGGGTCGGACAGGTCCGCCTCTCCGACGCAGGGGCTGCACCTGCGGCACGCTCCGCAGCGCAGGGACGAGAGAGGGCCTGGTAGCCTCCGGCTGCGTGGCGTCGGGGCATCCCGCAGGAAGTTACAGCTGCTCCTCCATGAACTCATCGAGGGTGTTTGCCCCAGGCTCTGCAGGGTTGGTACGGGTCCGTCCTGCGCTGCGGCGGCCCACGACTCCCAGCGTTGGTTTCCGGACGTGGCCGTGCGGATCCACTCCCGAACCCGCACGGCAAGCGCATTCCGCACCTGTCCACTGACCACTCCAGTCAGCGCCTGGGAAGGAGGGGTCGGGATTGGTGGTGCGCGGTGTCTTGGCACTCGGCGCACTGGAGCTGTCCGTAGCTCGCAGCGTCGAATCGTAGGCTGGTGCAGCAGCGCGGCCCCGAGGGCTGGGGGATGGTGCAGCGCCAGACCATGCAGAGCACCAGGGCGCTCCCTCAGCCGCACTGGGCGCCCGCCCAGACGTGGCGGTCGCCCGCCCACGGGCAGCCTTGGGGGACGCCAGGCACCGAGTGACGTCTCGCCGCCGGACCGCTCAGCTGCTCAGCTGAGGGTGTGGGTGGTGGCGCGGCTGGGCCGTCTGGCGCCTCTGCGACGGCAACGGTGGCGCCACACGGGAGATGTCCAGCGGCGGGCCTCCCACGCGTCTGCCTTCCTGCAGAGGCAGAGGTTCTCGCCAATGGATCTCCTCTGCCCCCAGCGGCGGCCGCGCCTGCTACTGCAGCCAGCAGCTCCTGAAGGCGGCTGCCGGCTCTCGGGCCCGTCGAAGCCGCTCGGGTTTTCCGCCTTGGCCTTGGCGCCGCAACAAGTTTACGCAAGACCCGTGAGGCCCTCACCTCCCGCTACGGTCGCCTCCCAGCGTTCGATGTTCGCCGACCCCTCGGGTGACTAGCCGCGGCCAGGCGGTCGCCGCTTGGCTCTGGTCCGTCGCTCCGGCTCCAGCGTCCGACTCCCTTCCGACTTTCGGACTTTCCCCACCTCGATTCCTGACCCGGGCCCTGGCCCGACCGCGCTGCCCTCGCAGGGCCGGCCCGTGGGCCCGCCGGTGCGCGCTCGCTCGCTCGCCCTGCGCGGCACAGCCGTTTCGGCCAGGCTGGTCCTGAGGCCCTTGGGCCCCTGCGCGGCCGCCGCCCCCTGGCAGGGCCCCAATTGCGCCGCGGGGGCCACGGGGCAGCTGCGAGCAGAGGGATCCGAGGCGCTCCGTCTCGCGCACGCTCTGCCTTGCTCGCGCGCTGCGCAGCCTGCATGCGGGAGCTCCGCAGCTTCTTCTGGCCACCAAGAGGACCCAGAGTCCGAAACGCGTCGCCATGAAACAGTGGCCGAAATCGGGAATGCACCAGGTGCCCGCCTGGCCAGTCTGTCTCTCCCCCGAGGGCCCCGGTCCGGGGCCTCTCGGGCCAGCTAGCGCTGCCCAGGCTCCCCCCGCTGCGGAGCCCCGGAGGCTCCTCGCCGCTCCCCGCTGCCTGGCCCAGCTTGGCCTCGGCCTGCCTTGGGCCCTTCGGCCGCAGCCGGGCCTCCGATGCGGGTGTCCTGCGCTGGGCCTCCGGCGCCTTCTGCGCGCCGCCTGCCTCGTCCGAGGGCCTCCCGCCCTTCGAGCGCGCTTCTCAGCGTGCTCGCCCCTGCGTGGTCCTTCGGCCGCCTGCCGTCGTGCCCGCGCCCTCTTTGCTGTGCGGTCTTTGAGCCCCCGTGCGCCGCCCTGGCTGGCTGCACGGGTGCGCGTGGAGATCGCGTTGTCGCCTGCTGGTTTGGCGTGGTTCTGCACGTGGCGGTCGGGGATGTCTCTCGGGGGTGTCCCATCGAGGCCGCTTCCCTTTCGGGCTCCTCCTCCAGGCACGCGCGTCCGCTGCGCTATTTTTTGCCGGATTTTGGCGCGATGCTGCTCGAGCTTCCGAGCAAAAGAGGAGGCGAGGAAGGATGAGGGGATGGAATTAGAAAAAAAATGTGCCACTCGTGATGTGGAGAATCACTCGAGTGGGGGATCGACTGCAGAATTGATTTACCTCCACATGGATTTGGTCGTAGAAAATAAAAAGCAGTCGAATATGTTGTAGATCTTCCACGTCTTTTGTTTCGTACATGCGACGGGTAAATCAAGTTTGGGGTACATCAATTATGCAGCCGATCCCCACGCCGAATCATAAGGAAGGGCATTATGCATTCGAAGATTTGGGCCTCGTGGATTGGCTCCCAGAGGTGTAACTACGTCCCGAGGGGAGACAAGATGGCTCCAGGACGGGCTCCTGGGACAACCTCAGGGAGCTTGGAACGTTTGGGATTACAACAGCGTTTCAAGGGCATCGAGGAAGAAAGTGCGTCCGGAAATTATGGACATCAAGGGGGGAGTAGGGCCCTTCAATCTTTTCGCAAGATTCTTTGAAAAGCTTGCCAGTCAGGGTCCTACATCTCTCTTCTAAGGCCTGGTGTGAGGTCCTCTGGATCCCGAATCGGTGACCCGTGGCCCGTGGTCTCCTGCATGGCCTCCCGTAGGTCGTGTCTTCGGTTCCTGTATGGCCTCTTTTCTGGTCTCCGGTATGGTCTCCTGTATGGTCTCCCTCTCCCGTATGGTCTCCCGCCTGGTTCCTTCAATGGTCCCCCGTGTCCCCCGCATGGTTTCCCGTATGGCCTTCTTTTATATGTTTCTCGTATGGTCTTCGTTATTGTTTCCCGTGTGCTTTGCCTGATCGTGCCGTGAACGGTCCTACGTCTGGTCTCCTTTCTGGTCTCCGTCCTGGCTCCCGCATGGTCCTCCTGGTCTCCCTTATGTTCTCCATTCTGATTTCCCTTATGGCCTCCCTTATGGTTCAAGTGGCTTACGCCATTCCGCCGACCTTTAGAAGGAGTCAGAGCTTACGACGACCGTGGAAGGTATCGAAGACGTCTAGCCTGATAGGATGCCCCTGTGTGGCCAAACGTTTAGGCCAAGTTTGGCCACGCTATTGGACCATGCGTTCTCCCAGCCGTTGTGTAAGCTCTTCGGGAACACGTGGGGGAGAAAGAGGAGGATGAGGAGAGGGAGAAAAAACGGAAGGTGTGGAGAAGGATGAGGAGACCTATTCGGGCCATTGGATGAAGGATGAAGGGACGAGGAGGAAAGATGAGGGAGGGCAAAGGAGGATGAGAAGAGGAAGTGCGTCATTCTTGGGGCCTGCTGGGAGCTCCCTGGGGGCCTCTTGGAGACCTCTTGGAGGCCTCTTGGGGGCCTTTGGGGGCTTCTTGGTGGCCTCTTTGACAGTCTTAGGGCGTTCCTGGCCCGTCTGACGCCGTCGGGAGCCGTCGTAGGGACCTCTTTGCACCGTCTTGGGGCCCTCTTGGGGCGCTTCATGGCCGTCGTGGAGCCCGTCTTGGGGGCCTGTTAGGCTGTTGTGAGGCCATCTTGGAGTCCTCTTGGGCTGTCAGAAGGCCGAAAAGAAGCGAATGCCAAAATCAGTCAAAGCCCTTAGGACAATGATTTGGGCCTCTTCGGGCTTCCCTGGAAGACCTCTTGCCTTTTGGGCCGTCTTGGAGGCCTCTTGGACGCTTCTTGAGCCGTCTTTGGCTCCCTTGGACAATCTGAGCGGTCTTCGAGGCATCTTGGAAGTCATCGTGGGCCTATCTTGGGCTCTCTTGGGGCCATCTTGAATGTCTGGGAGGCCATCTTGGCCGTTTTGAAGGCCACGTTAAATGGAAAAGCCGACGGGAGATGCAACCGGGCAAGCTTTCCGCGTGACCGGCGCGCTGTGCCGAAGCCCCAGGGGGAGTTTCTAAAAGAGCCAACAACCACCTGAAATTTAGCACGTCGGGCACCCCTGTAGCAAGACCACTGGGCGGTGGATCTGGATCTTGGCCTTCGGCTCAACCCACCACCGTGGCTGGGCTGTGGGTCAGGAGCTTCTTGGATGAATATGGAGGTTTCTTTGGATGCCTCTCAGGGACCTCTTGGAAATATAAGTTCGCATTCCCCCTCTTGGGCTCTTGGGGCTCTCTTGGGGTTCTCTTGGGCTGTTTTGGGGGCACCTGGGGCGGTGTCAGGGCTCTCTTGGACCGTCTTGGGGCCCTCTTGGGAGCCTCGTCGGCCGTCTCGGGACGATCTTGGGGGTCCCTTCGGCTGCCTTGAATGCTATCAAGATGGACAGTGTGTCTCGAAGCATCTTGGACCGTCGAGGGGCTACCTTTGGCCGTCTCGACGCTCTTTTGGATTGTCGTGGCGCTCTTTGTGGTGCTTTTTGAGCAGTCTTGCGCCTTTGTGGAGGCTCCAGGGTCACCGGGAAGGCGTTGACGAGCTCGTAGGGACACGCCGCCCTCTCCCTAGAATCGGATTTTGAACCCCAGCGGAGGGGGAAAGGGGGAGGGGGACAGCAAATCATCCCACACGCCGTTTCACACTCGGCAAGCGGAGGTCGGCGGATTTCCTTCCTGGTCCTCCAGATGGTTCCCCTTCTGATATCCTGATAATCTCCCTTATAGGCTCTCTCCCTTCTGGTTTTCCTCATGTTCTCCCATTAGTACACTCGACAGTACTCTCTGTGCGACTCTTCGCTCTCTGTAGTGCTCTCTGATCGTGCTGACTTGAGTAGTATAAACAGCTGATTCGGGCCTTCTGCAGCAAAGAGTGTAGTTCTACATTGAGGACCTTGGGGACTTGAGGACACTCCACGCGGTGCGTACGCCACCACCTGCGAACCCTACCCCTGTGGGTCCAATCGGAGTATCTCTAGGGACACCCTTTTGCTTCTGACCACGTCTCCCTCCAGGACACTGGGCCTGCAGGAGGCGTCCTGCAGTTTTTATGCCCTGGCCAGGTACAGGGGGAGGGGCTGCGCGATGAACCACATGAAGATTCAGTAGATCACGGGCCATGCCCAGCGCACCATAATCATCCACGGTTGCAATGCCTTTGGCTCAAGGGAGTCGCCAGTTGGGCGCGTGCAAAATCTACATTACGCGGAAGGTCCTCACCCCAAGCGCAAACATGACGGCAGGTCAGCGAACAAAGAATACGGGGTCGTCGTCGCCGACATTGGCGCGTGAGCTGCCCTCGTAAGGTCGCGCGTAAGCGCCTTTTTCCAACGTAGCGTGTCGCGCTGGCGGCCCGCGTAAACAACCGCTTAATGTCGCCATGCCATCTCGCGTAAGATCATTTTTGTGTCGTCGCTCAGGTGAGATTCCAGCCGCGTACGTTGGCAGGGACAGCTTCTTTGGGGGCAGGCCACCGCTCCCACAGGAAGCAGGCTACGCGATTGTACTGGGCGTCGGTGTCTTCCTCTCGCTTTTTACGACCATCATGGTGTACATGGATAAGGTCGCCAACGGCACAGCGATCAACATCGCTGGCAGGAATGTGAAGACGGGGCTCACGGCGTCGGTCATCGTGTCGCAGTGGACTTGGGTCGCCACACTGCTGCAGTCCTCCAACGCTGCCTGGAATTACGGCGTGTCTGGCCCGTTCTGGTACGCTGTTGGCGCCACCATCTCGATTGTCCTGTTCGGCATCCTCGCCACCGAGTTGAAGAGGCGGGCACGGACGTGCCACACGGTCTGCGAGCTCGTGTACGTGCGCTGGGGCAAGGCCGCACATTTGACCTTCATCTTCTGCTGCCTGGTCGCCAACGTGATCGTGACGTCGATGTTGCTGCTGGGCGGCGCCGCCACCGTGAACGCGCTGACGGGCGTGGACGCTGCCTTTGCCTCCTTCCTCATACCGTGGGGCGTGATCTTGTACACGGCGGCTAGTGGCCTGAAGGGCACTTTCGCGGCCTCGTACGTGGAAACGACCATCGTCTTCTTGGCCCTGGTGGTCTGCGTTTACACCGTATACGTCAAGGAATATTCCTCGGATCTCATCTACGACAGTCTCCAGGCGATTTCGGGCATGACCGAGTCGGAGTGCGTCGCTCGCTTCATGAAAGATGGTGTCACGTTCTACGAAGCGGGGACCTACTCATGCGGCCCAGTGGTCGAGAACAATTCTGGCTCGTACGTGACAATGCTTTCGATGGGCGGCCTCAAATCCGGTATCATCAGCATCGTCGGCAATTTCGGCACCGTATTCGCGGACCAGTCTTACTGGCAGTCCGCCATCGTAGCGAAGTCGGCCAACGTGCACAAGGGGTACCTACTTGGCAGCATGGTGTGGTTCATCATCCCGTTTGCACTGGCCACCTCCCTGGGTCTGGCTGGTGTGGCGCTCGGCTTGCCCATCACCGCGGGCGAGGCTGGCTCTGGCCTGGTGCCATCGGCCACGGCCGTGCACCTCTTCGGTGACTTCGGAGCCGTGATGATGGCCTCCATGCTGTTCATGATCATCACGTCCACAGGGTCTGCACAGGGAAATGCAGTCTCTTCGTTGATTTGCTACGACGTGTACCGGCGGTACATCAACCCGAGCGCCACCAGCTCGCAGATTCTCAAGGTCTCCCAAGCCGTCATTGTGGTCTTTGGGCTCGGCATGGGTGCTCTCGGCGTGGCTTTGAACCACATGGGCTTGAACTTGGGTTGGGTGTACCAGTTCACGGGCATTGCCATCGGCTCCGCGGTGGTGCCCCTCTGGAACGTCCTCATGTGGAAGGATGCCAACGCCACTGGTGCCGTTGCTGCCGTGTGGGGCGGGATGATTCTCGCGCTGGCCACCTGGCTGACCATCTGCCAGGCTGAGTTCGGCGAGATCACGGTGGACAATCTCGGCACCCTCAACCCGAACTTGGGGGGCAACATCGTGGCACTGTGCTCCTCCGCGCTGATCCACGTTGGCTGCTCCCTCGCCAGCCCGCAGAACTACGATTTCGAGCCGATGGGCCAGATTGACGTGCTGGAAGGCGACCTCTCTGGCCTGGGAGATGCCAACTACAGCCCGGAGCTCCTGGCAAAGGCTAAGGCGTGGCTCGTGAAGTACGGCTTGGGCTTCACTATCCTGATTGCTGTCGTGTGGCCCGTCCTCTCGCTCCCAGCCGGCGTTTTCACCAAGGACTATTGGATCTTCTGGGTCTTCGTCAGCATCAGCTGGGCTTTCATCGCCACTGTTACCATCATCTTCCTTCCGCTGTACGAGTCCAGGGGGTCCATTCTCGGCGTCTTCATGTTCATGTTGTGCCTGAAGAAGGCGGAGAAAGCGGAGCCCGCGAAGAGCGAGGAGGCACATCAGCTGGCACGCAGCGAGGGTGGCCTTGAGAGGGGGGGGCGGCGATGGTCTCTTACCCGCGCTGGGCTCGGCCAGGCCACCCTGGGTCAAGGACTGGTCTGCGTGCTCTGAAGGCTACGAAGGACGCCTCCTCCTCCTGCCTACAGCCAAGACGCTGAAACAAGAACCGCTCTGGGTCCTCAAGGGGCTCGCTGATCCTTCGATCATTCCGTGTGGTTGTTCCCTTTGCTCTCCTTGTACACCAAGGTTCGTCTGGTGCCACAACGGGGCTTCGTTGCCTATTCTTGGCATCGCTCGGGCGTGTGCGTTTTTTTCTCGACGAGGACCATCGAGAAGCATCTTGGATCACCTTGCGAACAAATGCACGCACGAAGCCGAAATATGCACGTGGAATGGGACGGCCGAGCGATAGCAAGTATTCAGCGTTCCTTATTTCAGCAGCCCGACTGCCTGCCTCTTCCCCCCGTCCTGGGCCCGGGTTGGGCCTGGCCAGGCCCGGTGGCGCGAGGGTGTGTGGCCGGCGCTCCCCCCACAGGCGGGCGCGCAGCAGGCGGAGGCGAGGGCGTCGCGTCGGGGCACGCCCTCGCCAGCCAGTCGCGAGGTGCACCTTCGCCTGCTGCCCATGGCCAGGAGCCAGCCACGCTTCAGCCAGCACGCCGCGAGGCGCGCGCTCCTCCAGGGCCTGAGTCCCCTGCCCCCCTCGTCCTCCTCGCTCTGGCCCTGTCTGATAGTTTCAAAGCCTCAGAGCACTTGGCGGTTCCTGGAGAAAGGTGTCGGGTGTTGTGGATCCCCTGCGCATGGAGGGGTACATCCCCCGGCTCCCCTCCGCTTGAGACCCTCGCCGCCCTGGAGTCCGGCGCCAACGATGGCGTCCGCCAAAGAACGGCGCAGGCGCACGCTGACGCTGTCGGTCGGTAAGGGCTCCCCACTAAAGCAGAAGGTTCATCTACAGAGGCAGCGGGCCACCTGGTGGCCCGCGGGGTGTCTGGTCAGCATATGGCGCAACCCATGGCACATCCACTGAGGCAACGGAAGATTTGGTTGCCCGCGGGGTGTTCTGCATAACCCATGGCGCAACCGATGCCGCACCCAGTGATGCATCGGAAGAGAAGCTTACTCGCGGGTTGTTTGACTCAATCTGTGGCACACTCACTGAGGCAACGGACGATTTGGTTTCCCGCGGGGCAACCTCTGGCGCAACCCATGGCGTAACTGTTGGCACCCGCACTCAGGCAGCGGGCGATTTGGCTGCCCGCGGGTTGTCTGGCGCAGCCTGTGGCGCAACCTCCAGCACACCCACTGAGGCGACGGACGATTCGGTTGCCCGCGGAGTGTTTGGCACAACCCACGGCGCAACCTCTGGCACAACTGTTGAGTCCGCGGACGAGTCATTGGCTTATGCCGCACCGCCCGCCGTGTGGGAGCCCTGTTCGTCTGAGAAGCCCCAAACCGTGCTCAGAAGGGGCCCTCTTGGCTCTTGGGGGTCTCCTTGGGGCCGCTGGGGGCCTTTTGGAGGCATCTTTAGGGGCCTCTAGGCGGCCTCTTGGGGGCCTCTTGGGGGCCTTTTAGGGCCCGGGGGAGTGCAGTCAACCCGCATAGTAAGGATGGGCGACCTTCCCAAGGGTAACCTTGCATCCTTGTCTCCTCGGTCCATCCTTGGCCGCGCCCCGCTTGAAAAGCTTCGAAACGGCCTTCCAAGGCCCTGGCACCCTTATCGTGCGTCCTTATGGTACGGGTCGGCTGTGCTCCCGGGGCCCCTTCGAGTTCGCCCTCCTGGGGTCTCCCCAGTGGTGGCGGCTCCATGCCCCCCTCTCCGCCCCGAGCGGCGGGCGTCGGCGGCGTCGTCGTCGTTGGGAGAGGAGGGGGGAGGGGGGAGGGGGGAGGAGGAGAAGGGGGAGGGAGGTAGCCATCGAGGGCCCACCGTCTTTTGCTTCACCTTTTGCGCCTGTCGTTTTCCAGCCGCGTCAGCCAGGCCTAATTTGCTGTTGCGGGCCTAAGTCGGCCTTTTATGTTTTCCAGACGCGCACGCTTCAGGCTCGGTCACTTAGTTCGCGCAACATCAGGAAAGGTGGAGGGAGGAGCATGAGGCGGCGGCGGCAGCGGCGGCGGAGACACTCCTAAATCATGCCAGGACACCATTTCAAGGACTTGAGCACCCGGAGTCAACGTGAGTGTTGCGTCCTGCCAGTCCTACACCGTGCCAGAAGGCAACTTCTGGGACTTCCGCTTTGCGAATCCTTGGAACGGCCACAAGCATTGAAGAGAAAGGTGCTCGGCCCTAAGGCGAGTTCCACATTTTGAAAAAGAGCCGGCCTCCATCCTCGGAGCGGTTGCAAACTTTGAGCCGAATGTACGCGGCGTTGAGGCGATAACCACATTAAGAAAACGGCACGACCTCAATCTTTGAAGATGTTGCAACTTCCAAGTTTGAGGTTCATCGATGGTGAAAATGTTTCAGTCGAACCGCCCAGCCCAGCCTACATACGCGTCTAGGGGCGCGACAGGGAGGAGTTATCGATAAGCAAAAGGGGTTGAAGAGGCGGAGGCGGAGGAAGAGGAGGATGAGGATGAGAAGGATGAGGAGGAGGAAGAGGAGGAGGAGGAGGAGGAGGAGGAGGAGAGGGAGTAGGACGAGCTAGTTACGCTCGTGGCATATCATGGCATATCTGACATCCTATCCCTCCCTTCCGTCACCCCCCGTGCTTTTCCACTATATGGATTTCGCTCCATTCACGGACTCATGGGAAAACTGGAGCTACGTACATCGGAGGGGGATGATGATGATGGTGATGCTGATGATGATGATGATCATGATGATGAGGATGATGATGATGCTGATGATGCCGATGATGATGGTGATGATCATGCGGATGAGGATGATGATGATGTTGATGATGCTGATGATGATGATGGTGATGCTAGTGATTATGATGATGCATCTGATGATGCTGATTATGATTATGATGATGATAATGATGATGATGATGATGATGATGATGATGATGATGATGATGATGATGAATACGATGATGATGAAGAAGATGGTGAGGATGCTGATGATGGTGATGCTGATGATGATGGTGATGATGATGATGATGATGATGATGATGATGATGATGATGATGATGATGATGATGATATGTATTAGGATGATGGTGATGATGATGATGATGAGGAGGAGGAGGAGGAGGAAGAGGAGGACAGGAGGAGCAGGAGGACCAGCAGGAGGATAAGGACCAGGATGAGGAGGGAGGAGATGAGGATGAACAGCAGCAGCAAGAGGAATTGGAGTGGAAGGAATGGGAGGAGCAGGAGGACTACGGGAAGGCGCATGAGGGGAAATATATAGTGGTACCCGACGATGAAAAGTGGCCCGGTCCAGAAAAGTGGCCCGCGCTGGTGCGAGAGCGCCGTTCTGAACGATGGGAACACAGCGCCGATCCGGAAATGAGGCCCACGCTGCAGCGGGCACACCATTTTGAAACACCGAAGATATTCGGATTGCACACACGCACCAGAGATAAAAAACAATTCGGCTCAATCTTGCGTGTGAAATACGATGCACGGAGGGGCCCGAGGATCTTCTGGACGGGGTCAAGGAAGAGAGGGGAGTAGTATTCATATTGTGCATTTGTAGAGGAAGAGGAGGGATTAGGTGGAGGCCGATGAACACCCAAGGTGTCGTCGAATTTTGCTGCCCGCGGTCTGTTGGCGCAACCTGTTCTCTGGCACACCCACTGAGGCAACGGACGATTTGGTTGCCCGCAGAGCGTCTGGCGCAACCCATGGCGAGGCCTTCGGCGCAGCCGCCGAGGCAGCGGGCGATTTGGTTGCCCGCGTGGTGTCTGGCGCAACCACAGAAGTTTTCGCTTAGACAACGGGCGATTTAAATGCCCGCGGTCTGTCTGGCGCAACTTGTGGCGCAACCTGTGGCGCAACTTTGGCCCCGACCAATGAGTCGACGGACGATTCGATTGCCCGCGGACTGTCTGGTGCAACGCATGGCGCAACCTCTGGCACATCCGCTGAAGCAACGGACGAGTTGGTTGCCTGCGGCCCCCCTACGTACTCCCCCCATGCCAAGGCGGATTTGGGTCACACTGCAGCTTCCCCAGAGCAGCAACGCGCAGCTCCCTCTGAGCAGCACCGCGCAGCTTTCCCCGAGCAGCAGGCGCCTCGGGAGCAGCACCGCGCAGCTCCCTCTGAGCAGTACCGCGCAGCTCTCATGGGGCAGCAGGCGCCGCTTAGGCGCATCACCACCGCTCACCTCAACAGGAGCAGCACCGCTGACATTAAGACACTGCTCCAGGGGCAGCTGGAGGAGCTGGGCGAGATCTCGTCGCTGGTCGGCCGCGAGGGTGGCTCTGGCGGGAAGGGCGGGGGGGGCGGAGGTCTCCTGCCTGCGCTGGGCCTGGCCATGCCACCCCGGGACAAGGACTGGTCTGCATGCCCTCCGGGCCACGCTGGGCGGCTCCTCCTCTGCCTCCTTCTCCCCGTCCTTGGTCAGTGGCGGGCCTGGCCAGGCCTGGTGGCATGAGGGTGTGTGGCCGGCGCTCCCCGAGGCGGGTGCGCAACAGGCGGGGGCGATGGCGTCGCGTCGGGGCACGCCCTCGGCATCCAGCCGTTCGGTGCACCTTGGCCTGCTGCCCCTGGCCAGGAGTCGGCTTCGCTAAAGCCAGCACGTAACGGGAAGCGCACTTCGCCAGGGCCTGTGCTCCCTGCCCCGCCCTCGGCTATACGCAAGAGCGACCCTGGGTTAGAGTGACCTTTGGTGCGCGGCTTTTTGGGGGCCGCGAGGGGACCAAATCTGGGCGCGCAACAAGTTGCTACTGCTTCGTTTTCAGCCATCGGGGGACCCATCTGTGCCCGCACCAAAGGTCACTCCTGCGAAAGGTCACTCTTACGTCTAGTCGACTCCCGTCCTCCTTCCATTCCTCTTTTGAAACTAACCTTCTGGGCTCTACCTGATATTTCCAACGGGTTTCCAGGGCACTTGATGATTTCGGGAAAAGGTGTAAGGTGTCGGGTAATGTGGAGCGGGAGCGCATGGAGGGTTGCACCTTCCCGGCTCCTCCCTCTGCAGGCGCATGCTGACGCCGTCGGTCTGTCAGCGCAGCGCTCACCAGAGTCCTGTGTCGCCTCTGGCTGGCTGCCGCAGGGCGAGCGGTCCGTGGGCAGCGCCGACGACGACTTCATGCAGAGGTTCAGATTGCGGGTTTTGACCCTGGCCCTCGCTACCCAGCCATACTCCGCCACAAAGATCTACACACAGACACCCTCCAGTGGGGCCTCAGTGGAGGCTGGCGGTGTATAAATCACCACTGAGAGCCAGCGACTTTATACATCGCCACCATCCCTGACGGTACAGGCAAATTCGTCGGCGGGTGTCTGTGTATATCGAAGACGCTTACGGCGAATCACCGCCGCCCCCTGGCCAAGCTATCGAGCCACGCGATCCCCGAGTGGGTTTCGAAAGCCTTCGGGGAACACCGAGTCGGGCGAGCTATCAGACCAGGTGGTTTCCGAGCTTTCGGGTCTCCTGGAGGACGTCTTGGAGGGGTCTTGGGCCGTCTTGGAGGCCTCTTGCGGGCCTATAGGGCCGTCGAAGGTCATCTTCAGGCCATCAGGGGCCGTCTTGGAGGCATCTTGGAGGCAATCTTGGCCGTCTTGGAGGCCATCTTGGGCGTCTTGAGGGCCATCTCGGGCCGTCTTGGGGCCTTGTTGGGGCCCTCTTGGGGGCCTCTTGGGCTGTCATGGGGCCACCTTGGAGGCCTCGTGGGCGCTCTTGGGACGATGTTTGGGGGCCGCTTGGGCCGCCTTGGGCCGTCGGAGAGCTGAAAAGGAGCAAAAGCCAAAATCCGTCAAAAACTATAGGACAATCAATGATTTGGGGGCCCTTTTCGGGCCTTCCTGGAGGACGTCTTGGAGGGCTCTTGGGCCGTCTTGGAGGCCTCTTTCGGGCCTATAGGGCCGTCCGTCTTAGACCATCTTGACACCACCTTTGGCCGTCTTGGGTGCATCTTCGGGCCATCTTGGCTGTCTTGAAGGCCATCTTTGGCGTCTTGGACGCATCTTGGAGGCCATCTTGGCCGTCTTGGAGGCTATCTTGGGCGTCTTGGGGCCTCCTGGGCCGTCTTCGGACCTTGTTGGGGCCCTCTTGGGGGACTCTTGGGCTGTCATGGGGCCATCTTGGAGGCCTCTTGATCGCTTTTGGGTTGATGTTGGGGGCCGGTTGGGCCGTCTTTGGCCGTCGGAGAGCTGAAAAGGAGCAAAAGCCAAAATCCGTCAAAACCATAGGACAATCAATGATTTGAACCTTGCCAGGCCTTCCTGGAGGACGTCTTGGAGGGCTCTTGGGCCGTCTTGGAGGCCTCTTGCGGGCCTATAGGGCCGTCTTAGGCCATCTTGAGGCCATCAGGGGCCGCTTGGGTGCATCTTCGGGCCATCTTGGCCGCCTTGGAGGCTATCTTGGACGTCTTGGAGGCATCTTGGAGGCCATCATGGCAATCTTGGAGGCCATGTGGGGCTTCTTGGGGGCCTCTTGGGCCGTCTTGGGACCTCCTTGGGGCCGTCTTGGGGGCCCCTTGGGCCGTCCTGGGGCCATCTTGGAGGCTTCCTGGGCACTCTAGGGGCGATCTTGATGGCCTCTTGAGCAGTCTTGGGCCGTCGGAACGCCGAAAAGGAGCAGGAGCCCAAATCCTTCAAAAGACATAAGGACAATCAATGATTTTGACCTCTTCGGGCCGTCCTTGAGGACCCTGGAGGACCTCTTCGAGGCCTCTTGGGTCGTCTTGGAGGCCTCTTGGAGGCCTCTGGGGCCGTCTTGGGCCGTCTTAGGTGTTTCTTGTGTGAACTTGGAGGCATCCTTGACTCTCTTGGGCCGTCTTCGAGGCCATCTTGGGCGAACTTTGAGGTCATCTTGGCCATCTTGGAGGCCATCTTGGAGCCGTCTGAAGCCGAAAAACCCATTGCGGCCACCTTTTGCGCACCCTTCCGGGTGGCCGACGGGACGGGTCGAAGATCCAGGGGTAGTTTTTGGGGAAAAGAACCAAAACCATGGGGGAATTGCCCCCTTGGGGGGAGAAAAAAAAAGAGCGACAGGGTTCAGCACGCCGGGCACCCCCGTCATGAATCAACAGGGGGCGGCGGATCGAAGACGCCTACGGCGAATCACCGCCGCCCCCTGCCTTTGCGGAAGCGCCTATGTGGCCGAACGTTGAGACCAGACCTGCCAAGCTATCGGACCATGTGTTCCCCGACTCGGTTTGGAAAGCCTTCGGGGAACACGTGGGCATCTTGAAGGTCATCTTGGCCGCCTGGAGGTCATTTTGACTCTTTCGGGCCTTCTTGGAGGACGTCTTGGAGAGCTCGTGGGCCGTCTTGGAGGCCATCTTGAGCGTCTTAGAGGCCTCTTGGGCCGTCTTGGGGGCCTCTTGGGGCCGTCTTGGGCGCCTCTTGGGCCATTCTGGGGCTATCTTGGAGGCCGCTTGGACGATCCTTGGGCGATCTTTGGAAGCTCTTGGGCCGTATCGGGCCGTCGGAAGGCCGAAACGAAGCAAATGTCAAAATCTTTATATATATATATATATATATATATATATATATAAACATAGGAAGATCACTCTTTTTCCCAACCATCCTGTGGTGTTGGGTCCTCGTTTTAAAGAGACGGTGCCCCGCGTCTCCTCCCGCTGCCCCCTCCTCCTCCCCCTCCTCCCTCCTCCTTGCGTTTCACCCACCCAGTACAGCGTTTCGTGGCCCCATAGGGAGCTCCACCGAAGGCCCCAGTGGCAGGGTTCGCATGGCGGCCCCGCGTTTTGGCGCTCCCCTCACACGGTTCGTAGCCCCATAGGGAACTCCACCGACAGGCCCCGGTGGCAGGGTTCGCATGGCGGCCCCGCACCATTTTGGCGCACCCCTCACACGGTTCGTGGCCCCATAGGGGGTTACATTGAACGCTCCAGTGGCAGGGTTCGCATGGCGGCCCCGCGCCATTTTGGCGCACCCCTTACGGTTCGTGGCCCCATAGGGAGCTCCACCGAAGGCCCCAGTGGCAGGGTTCGCATGGCGGCCCCGCGCCATTTTGGCGCACCCCTCGCACGGTTGTTGGCCCCATAGAGGGCTCCACCGAAGGCCCGAGAGGCAGGGTTCGCATGGCGGCCCCGCGCCAGTTTGGTGCACCCCTCACACGGTTCGTGGCCCCATAGGGAGCTCCACCGAAGGCCCCAGTGGCAGGGTTCGCATGGCGGCCCCGCGCCATTTTGGCGCACCCCTCACACGGTTCGTGGCCCCATAGGGAGCTCCACCGAAGGCCCCAGTGGCAGGGTTCGCATGGCGGCCCCGCGCCATTTTGGCGCACCCCTCACACGGTTGTGGCCCCTAGGGGGCTCCACCGAAGGCCCCAGGGGCAGGGTTCGCATGGCGGCCCTGCGCCAGTTTGGTGCACCCCTCACACGGTTCGTGGCCCCATAGGGAGTTCCACCGAAAGCCCCACTGGCAGGGTTCGCATGGCGGCCCCGCACCATGTTGGGGCACCCCTCACACGGTTCGTGGCCCCATAGGGAGTTCCACCGAACGCCCCAGTAGCAGGGTTCGCACGGCGGCCCCGCGCCAGTTTGGTGCACCCCTCACACGGTTCGTGGCCCCATAGGGAGCTCCACCGAAGGCCCCAGAGACAGGGTTCGCATGGCGGCCCCGCACCATTTTGGCGCACCCCTCACGCGGTTCGTGGCTCCATAGGGAGCTCCACCGAAGGCCCCAGTGGCAGGGTTCGCATGGCGGCCCCGCGCCAGTTTGGTGCACCCCTCACACGGTTCGTGGCCCCATGAGGAATTACATTTGCTTCGTTCCACCTGCCCTGCGGTTTTCACACTTGCGTATGGTTGGGTCCTTCGCCTGGATAATTCCCAACCATCCTGTGGTGTTGGGTCCTCGTTTTGAAGAGACGTCGCCCCGCGTTCCTTCCTCCTCCTCCTCCTTCCTCCTCCTCCCCTCCTCCCTTTTCCCCTCCCACACCCATTCTGGCACACCCCTCACACGCTTCGTGGCCCCATAGGGAGCTCCACCGAAGGCCCCAGTGGCTGCGCCCGCATGCGGTTCCACCCCCCATTCTGGCACACCCCTCACACGTTTCGTGGCCCCATAGGGAGCTCCACCGAAGGCCCCAGTGGCTGCGCCCGCATGCGGTTCCACCCCCCATTCTGGCACACCCCTCACACGTTTCGTGGCCCCATAGGGAGCTCCACCGAAGGCCCCAGTGGCTGCGCCCGCATGCGGTTCCACCCCCCATTCTGGCACACCCCTCACACGTTTCGTGGCCCCATAGGGAGCTCCACCGAAGGCCCCAGTGGCTGCGCCCGCATGCGGTTCCACCCCCCATTCTGGCACACCCCTCACACGTTTCGTGGCCCCATAGGGAGCTCCACCGAAGGCCCCAGTGGCTGCGCCCGCATGCGGTTCCACCCCCCATTCTGGCACACCCCTCACACGTTTCGTGGCCCCATAGGGAGCTCCACCGAAGGCCCCAGTGGCTGCGCCCGCATGCGGTTCCACCCCCCATTCTGGCACACCCCTCACACGCTTCGTGGCCCCATAGGGAGCTCCACCGAAGGCCCCAGTGGCTGCGCCCGCATGCGGTTCCACCCCCCATTCTGGCACACCCCTCACACGTTTCGTGGCCCCATAGGGAGCTCCACCGAAGGCCCCAGTGGCTGCGCCCGCATGCGGTTCCACCCCCCATTCTGGCACACCCCTCACACGTTTCGTGGCCCCATAGGGAGCTCCACCGAAGGCCCCAGTGGCTGCGCCCGCATGCGGTTCCACCCCCCATTCTGGCACACCCCTCACACGTCGTTCGCTGGCCCCATAGGGAGCTCCACCGAAGGCCCCAGTGGCTGCGCCCGCATGCGGTTCCACCCCCCATTCTGGCACACCCCTCACACGTTTCGTGGCCCCATAGGGAGCTCCACCGAAGGCCCCAGTGGCTGCGCCCGCATGCGGTTCCACCCCCCATTCTGGCACACCCCTCACACGTTTCGTGGCCCCATAGGGAGCTCCACCGAAGGCCCCAGTGGCTGCGCCCGCATGCGGTTCCACCCCCCATTCTGGCACACCCCTCACACGTTTCGTGGCCCCATAGGGAGCTCCACCGAAGGCCCCAGTGGCTGCGCCCGCATGCGGTTCCACCCCCCATTCTGGCACAC